AAGGGAGGATCACTCTGTCTTGGATGGAGACAGAAAATCCCGGCAGGAATTCAGGGAGCCCTTAGTTTTAAGCACCACAGCGCAAAGCTTGTCCTAAACCTAAACCAGCAGCACAGCTCAGCCCCCCCACCCCTCAGATCCATCATTTTCCAGCAGAATCCACCAAAGCTCCCCAAAACAAGTTGCTTTTCTGCCTGCAGCTCCTCCTTGAATTCCCCACCTCTCCAGGCTGGGAAGTTCAGACTGCGGGGACGGGCTCCGAGCGCTTATTAATTAAACTGGGCTTTGTTGGCCACTCTGGGCTTTAACCAGGAGCATAACAAACCCATTGTTTTTCCCTGCCCAACGGACCGTGACCGCCTATGGAAATGACCCACTAATTCACCAAATTGGTTTTGTTTCCCAGATTTTCCCACATGTCCATTTTCCAGCTGTAATGCAAATCCCAACCCGGCGTGTCCCCCCGAACAGCCCCGAGATCCCTGGGTGAGGCTCAGGAAGAAACACTCCAGCCACAGAAACTTCATCCAGGAAACTCCAGGAAACTGGAATTCAGTCAGAAACCCCTGGGGTTTTTTGGTGTTGGGTTTTGTTTGGTTGGTTTTTTTGTGATTTTTTAATTATTGGGTGGTTTATTCCTTTTTAAATTATTATTTTAAATTATTATTTTTCAAATTACTATTTTACATGATTGTTTTTACATTATTATTATTTTAATTATTGTTACCTGAATTATTATTATTTGAATTATTTTTTTTCATTCATAGAATCCTGGAATGGGTTGGGTTGGAAGGGACCTTAAATCCCACCTCGTTCCCACCCCTACCACCATGGGCAGGGACACGTCCCACTTCCCAGATTGACTTTTTCCCTCTTCATGAATATTTAAGGAAGTCACTTCCAGGTTTCTCTTAATGCCCAGACAGGTGGGAGCTCAAAATTCCCTCTGCAACCAATACCAACAAAAGCTTGGAAAGGCAAGCTCCAATAATCCCTGGGAAGAGTAGGAGCTCCTTAACCACTAAAGCACCTCTGGATGTCACTGGAGAAGCTGTTTCCCTCTCCAGGGGATAAATCCAGCTCCAAGCCTGGCATCACAATGGGAGAGCTGGCCAGGGGGCTGGAATTATGGGCAGGAGACCGGGATTATGGACAGGAGTCTGGGATAATGGACAGGAGACCAGGATTCTGGGCAGGAGGCCATTCCTGCTGCCTTCAGAGAGGACAACTCCAGCCTGTCCCACAAAACAACTCGGCTTGTCTGAGGCCCAGATCCCAAGGAATGTAAACTTCCTGGCAAACTCTGCAGGCCAACCTCACGTTTCAGCTGCCAGAGCAGCCAGTTTCTATGTACACATCTCTGCTCTTCCCAAGGAAATGGAGATGTCCTTGTCATCTCCTTTCTCCGGGACTGTCGAGCGGCTGGAGTTGGATGCCGGGCCCGGAATCCTGACTGGCAGCACTGACAAATCTATTAACTCCTGCCTTGGAGTGGGAATGTGTTTCTCTTTCCAGCTTTGTGGCTCCCACAAAGCATTTTAAAGCACCTTTCCAGGTTCCACTCGGCATTAAATCACGACTTTGGAAGGTCTCCAAGGATGGAGGGTCCCTGGAGTGTCCAAGGCTGGGTTGGATGGGGCTTGGAGCAGACTGGGGTAGTGGGAGGTGTCCCAGCCCATGGCAGGGGGTGGGATAAATTGGGCTTTAAGGTCCCTTCCAACCCAAACCATTCCATGATGCCATGATTCTCCTAAAACTGGTGCTGGGCTGGATCAGCTCCATGAGTGGAAAACACTTCAAAGGAACACTAGAGCCTGGAATTCCCAGTTTTGGGGTTTCCAAAGGCCTTTCCTGACCTTTTTAGGTTCCCAGAATCCCAGATTGGTTTGGGTTGGAAGGACCTTAAATCCCACCTCATTCCAACCCTGACAACTCCCACCACCCCGGGGTGCTGCAAGCCCCTTCCAACCTTGGAATTCCTGGACAGGTTTTGCTGCTTCCCTCCTGGTTCCTGGTGCCCCTTCCCTGCTCCAGCTGCAGAGCAGGAGCCACCTGACATAACAGAGGTGGTGTGAAAGGGAATTAATGTTCCCAACCGAGCAAATCCCAAAAGTGCCGAGGTGAAATGGAATCCCACTTGAGGGAATGTTGAAATCAGTCCTGCAGAAGGGTAAAAAACCACAGAGCCGGCTGAGTCAGAGCCCCAGCATGGAAAATTCCTGCCCAGACGCTGACAGTTTAGCAACTGGAAGCGGGGCCTTTTAACGCTGTGTTGGAGAAACTTCCCTAATCTGCACAAAATTCCGGCTCTCCTAGGGATGTTCAGAGCACTTGGAAGCACAAACCTAAATATTCCTGGTAGGCAAAGCCAGGAGAGGGATGGAATTCCAAGGAACCTGCAGCTGTCACATGATGACCACAAGAACCACGACAAATTATCACCCAGAGGTCACCACCTAAACCAGCAGCACCTGGAACCTCCCTGGAATCACAGGATCCTGGAATCTCCTCACTGGGAAGGGAGTCACTGAGTCCAGCTCCCGGCCCTGCACAGGACAATCCCAAAATCCCCCCAGGAGCACTGAACCACTTCCCTGCAGGGAAATGCTCCAGGAAGTCACGCAGGGTCGAAAAGCAATGGGAAATGATTTCCCGTCCCTTTAACAGGGTATTCCAAGGAGCAGGACAAGCAGCATTCCCAACGAGGACGCCTGGGAAGGGGAGGGGCGATGAGAAGCGATGCCGGACGTGCCACACGCGGGGACAGGGGTTAGTGGTGGACTCCATGATCCCAGAGGGCTTTTCCAACCTGAATCCCATGATTCCACAGCCCCCATCCCACAGCAGGAGCCACTCCAGCCGAGCTGACGGAACACACCAGTATGAACCATTTTGAGGGGGAGGATTGTCAGGCTCTGGATCAGTTGCCAAGGGAAAGGGGAGAAAGGATGGAAAGGAACCCACAGCCGGATCCTGACACCCAAATTGACAGGAAGCTTTCCTTGGGAGAGTCCAGAGCGCTGCCAGGGGAAGGGAAATGAGGGAATCCATTTGGAATAAGTGGAGTCGGAGCCACAGTCTGGTCCAAGTGAAGAGCCCTGCACAGAAATTCCTCCCAAAATCCCAAACGCCGACACAACCGGAGCACGGAACACTCCCAGACCCCATCCTGGATATCCATAACTGCAGCGTCGGTCCTGCTGCTGCTTATGGGTTCCCACTCCCACACAAAGCTCTCCCAGCCCATTCCCTGGGAATGCTGGAGCAGGAGGGACACCTGCACCCATCCCACTATCACAGCCGGGAAAACCCCTCCAAGGCAATTAAGCAGGACCTTCTAGAAACATGAGGATGCTCCCAAAATCCCTTATCAGGAACTCTGGAATCCTGAATCCTTCTGCATTCCTTCCCCAGGTGCCCCCAACTGCATTTTTATAAACCAAATATTTCTTAAACCAAGGGAAAACACTGTTTTCCTTAAAACTGGGAGAAGCAGGACTGAGATTTTTCAGGAAGCCCAGGCCAGGTAGGAGAGGGCGAGATGCTTCCAGGCTTGCTGGTTTGCAGGTAAATGTTCAGGTGGGAAGCGGCAGCAGCGGCTCTCCCTGGCTCCCTGTGCTCTCCCTCAGCCCCGTGGCGTGAGTGCAGGAGGGAGTGGTGAAATTTCCCTGCTTTTCTTGGCTTCTCCCGAGCCTTTCCCAAACTGTCGTAACCGTGCCTTGGCTGGGAACCCGCACGAACCACTCGAAGCTCCAGCACTGCTCAACAACTCCCAGCTCTTTCCCAATCCCACAGGCCGAGGGACGGCTGGGGGGCTGTGGAGTGATCTATGGCAGCCCCAGCTCCGTGTTTTCCTTGGAGCGGGCTCAGGGCTGTAAAGCGGAGCCGGATGAGTTCTCTGAGGGAACTGGGGCAGGATCTTGGCCCAGCTGGAGGTGGAGGGACACTCTGACATCACCTCTTCACTTTAATCACCCTAGTTAACTGCGGGAGCCAGCAGTCACTCCTGACCAATCCCAGCCTCTCCTCGGCCACGCACGGGGGGACCAAAGCCAAATCCCAGGAGTCCTGAGGCTGCAAAACCTTCCAGGATCCATGGAGTCCAAGCTGGGACTGATCCCGGGCCAGAGCACTGAGTGCCACCTTCAGGGATGGGGATCCACCTGGATCCCTGCTCCCCTGGGCAGCCCCTTCCAAGGCCTGACCACCCTTTCCAGGAGACCCTCCCCTGGTGAAACTTGAGGCACTTCCCTCTCCTGCTGTCCCTTGTTCCCTGGGAGCAGGGCCCAATTCCCCCTGGGATCCATCAGGGAGTTGCAGAGCCAGAAGGTCCCCCCTGAGCCTCCTTTTCTCCAGGCTGAGCCCCCCCAGCTCCCTCAGCCACTCCTGCTGCTCCAGAGCATTCCCAAACTCCCTTCCCTTCCCTGCACACGCTCCAGCCCCTCATTATCCTGTACCTGGCGAGCCCAGAGCTGATCCCAGGATTCCCCACTGGGACTGATACAATCCAGGTGCCTCTTGCCCACCTGGGCTCCCCTCAATCAGATCCAAGGATTTGGAGTCCAGATCCCAGCAGGCAGCGATCTGTCCCCCTCCAAACAACATTCCCAGTGTCCCTCACCAGCTGTTTGGTCCCTTGGGTTACTATTTATTTACTGTATTTTCAAAAAGCCTTTTCTGCTTTAAAAATCCCGTTCCCAGAGTGTCCAACCAGGCAAGGAGAAGCTGAGCCTCAGGAAAACACCATTTACCTCTCTGGGGAAATTTTGCATCCCAAGCCCAGCAAGAAAACACAATTATATATATATATATATAATATATAAAAAATAATAAGCATCACCACAGCACATTTTTATACCTTAAAACAGGAAAAATTAGGCATATCCCATGTTCCCACCCTTCTAAGGAATGAAGAGGGATTTAAACCCTCTGGATTTTGTTTCTGCTTCATATATCTCAATTTCAGCCCCAGATTAAAGTAGAAAATTCCATGTCCTTACTTTGTATCCTGGAATTGACAAAGGGAGGAGAGAGATTGTCGTGGGAGCCGAGGTCTCTGCTGGCCATGTGATCGTAGTGAGTCCCATCTCCATAGTTCTGCCAGGAAACCAGGATAAAACACGTGTTGGAGCAGCGTTTCCCCGACCCCCAAGCCCGTATTCCCTGCTAAATGTTAAACCTGCTCTACGAAGCATCATTCCCTGGATTTTTTCCCCTGGAATGTCACGTTACAGGGAGTTTTTAATGCTGTTTCAATGTTTTGGTTCACCACAAATCGACTTTACCATGGGGAGAACGGAGGACTGGGATGATGCTCTTGGAATTCTGTGCTGGGCAATAAACCCTCTCAGAAGGGTCCTCCTGCTCACAATATGGAAGAAAGAGTCAGGAGAAGCCGAGTCTCCCGCTGTGGGAATGCCATTCCAGCAGGGAAAAGCGAGGTCAGGCCGTTTGTGGAATAATTCTGGCAGTTAATGCCCAGCCCTGATTCAAATTCCCAAATTCCTCCCAGGCTCGTGCTCCCTTTCTTTCTATCTCCCAACTTCATTCAGGGGTTTGGAGGCAGAAATAATCGGTGTGTGCCAATTCCCAACTTCCTTTTCAAAACATTTTTCCCTGGGAAGCAATACAAGTGTCAAGGGGGAAAAAAGGGGAGAAAAATCAACGTGCCGGGCGGGAATGACGTCAGGGATGCAAAGCAGGATGGAGAAGAAAAGGTACTGGGATTCCTCCCCTGCAAGGGATAGGGAAATCGGGGATCCCCCTGGGCCGCCTTGAGGGAAAGACCCTGGACTGGGGATGAGGAGGGGATGAGGAGGGGATGGAGAGGGGGTGGAGAGGGGATGGAGGGCCCAATCCCGCTCCTCCTCCCCGTTCCAGGGCACAGAGCTGCTGGAGCCCTGAGCCTTCCAATTAATGGGAAAACAATTAAACAGGAATTAGAACAAATTTAACTCAGGGCACGAGGAAGAGAGAAGCCACTTCTTGCCCACCCTGAGTGTTCTCTATGGGTTTGGAGGGAATAAAGGGGGATAAACAGGGAACGAGCAGCGCAGAGCTGAGGCACCAGCCATGCTCAGCCTGGAGGAAGGGAAGAGCTGGGATGCTCCATTGGGAACAGAGGCAGGAGGGGCAGAGCTGGGATGCTCCATTGGGAACAGGGGCAGGAAGGTCAGTGGTCATGGAATGGCTGGGGGGAACATGGCATGGCCAGGGGTGGTCAGTGGCCATGGAGTGGCCAGGGATGGCCATGGAATGTGAGCCCTGGCACAGGGATGGGGGGTGGCCCTCCCCTCAGGCTTGGGGACACCCCCAATCCCGAAAAATCCCAGTGCAGGGGGTGAAACCCTGGGAAATAGCCTGTGCCGGCTGCGCTCGGGTGGGGCCAGGGCTGAGGGAGCCCCGCAATAAACGGCTAATTAATATCCCTAAAAATCATGGGATGGCTGGGGGTGGAAGGGACCTTACAGACCATCCCACGGGTGGGCAGGGACACCTTCCCAGGGCCCGGGATGCTCCAGTTCCCCCGGAGCAGGTGCCGGATCCGAGCCCAGGCACAGGTTGAATATTAAAAGGCCCTTGAAGGAGCAGCCGAGCGGCCGGGCCCGTCTGTCCTGGATTGCACGTTCCCAGGCTGAGGGAGGGAGATTAGATGTACTTACCCGGGATGGACTCGGATGGCCTGCATTCCCCCAGGACCCTGAGCTGGTTCTGTCTTCTACATCTGGGGACAAGGAAGTTCTTTAGTGGCAATAATTCCTGCCTTTTGTGCCGGCACTTTTAAATTAACGCTTCAAATTAATCTCCCGGTGCCTTTAATTAAGAACCGAGGGCCGGGAAGCGGCTCCTGACCCGGAGCTCCAATTAACTCATTGAAATGCGCGGCGGGAACGAGCTGGACCCTCAGGAACGGGGGCTGGAGCGGCGCAATTCCAGCACTGGATTGAGTTCCTGACACTCGGGAGTGGCGTCACTGACACAGCTCCAACCCGACCCAAATCTCTGGCAGAAAACAGGGATGGACAGACAGGTGAAATGCGATTGTCCAACGGGAAAAGCTGGAGGGGAAAGGGCAGAGTGTGTTTTACACTCGAGGGTCACCCAGGGAAGGGGAGGTGGGATGTGCCAGATCCATGGATACAACGGGACATTCCCAGTATTCCTGCTCTGCTTTTCACAGAATGGGTTGGTGTGGAAGGCATTTAAAGGATCATCTGGTTCCCACCCAGACACCTTCCACTATCCCAGATTGCTCCAACCTGGCCTGGGACACTTCCAGGGATGGGGAATCCACAGCCTCCCTGGAAAAACACATGGAAGCACTGGAAGTGCTCAAATTCCTTCCTTTTTATGTCAAACCTCAGGAAACGGGATTGACATTGATCTCAAACACTGTTTTGGCCCATTGCAGTGCTGTTTCCCAGCTCACTCCCACATCCCCACACCATCCCTGGGGAATGCCAGCATCCCTTGCCTTTTCCACACACAAACAGGAGCTTTAATGGAATTCAAAACCCACATTTTGGGTGTTTCTGGCTGGAAAAACTTTCTCCAAGTGCTACCAAAACCCACCAGCAGCTCCCTTCCCACCTGTCCATCCAGCTTCTGGGAGCAGTGGGAATTTGAGGAACACTCAAAATCCAGGTACTGGAACTGAATCCGGGGGATTCCCAAGACCCAAACCCTGACACATTAATAGAGTTTCCCACTTTCCCCCAATTAGGAATTCCATTATCTCCAGAACAGATGAAGGTGTTCACAGCACGAGGCACTCCAAGGTAAATATTTAATTAAACTCCAGGAAAAAAAAAAAAGGGAAAGAAAGTGTGGATCATTTCCCTGACAGACCCACTCAATCATTCCAGAGGGTTAATTAGCAGGATCCTCAAAAATCACTCGTGTTGTGGAACAGCCAATTCACTCTGTGGAGCTAAAAACCACTGGATGCCATCCCAGGGATTGGGACGGGCAGAGCTTCCACCATCAGCACCTGGAGGGCTCTGGGCAGTCTGGGTTCTTTTGGAAGCAAACAATCATGGAATGGGGTGGGATGGGAGGGGTTTTAAGGACTGTCCACTCCCGTGAGCAGCGACACCTTCCAGAGACCAGGTTATTCCAAGCTGGCCTTGGACACTTCCAGGGATGGGGCATCTTCCGGGAAATCCATTCCAGGGCCTCCCCCCCTCCCAGCTGGGAATTCCTTCCCAACCTCCCAGTGCTCCTTCAGAAAACGTGGAGCGGTGCGTGCCACGCGTTTTGCCCGGAGTCTCGTGCCGGCCTCTCCCAGTTCTCCCTGTGTTTGTGCTCCAGAGGTGCCGAGTGCTCCCGACTCCCTGCAAGCCATCACTGAGGGGCCCTAATGAAGTAACTGTGACGGACAAATCCATTTCCCCGGCCCTAATCGAATCCGGGCGGGCTGACACAACACAGGGGCCTAATCCGGTTATTCCCCTGATTGGAAAAAGGCCCTTTAGTTCTCATCAGGACAATCTGCGGAGATCGGCTCCTGCTCCGGCGCTTCCCAAGAAAAGCCCCAAATCCAAGCCCTGATTCCTCAGTCAGAGAGGAACACGGAGCTCTTGTTCTAACACCAAGGCTTTATCTCAGCTCCAGGGAAAAGAAGGTGAAGACATGGACCTTTGAGCCCTAGAATAAGCTCCACCTGTGGAAGAAGCTGGATTTGGGAAATATCCTAAATTTCCAGAGCTTTTCAAACTCATGGAATCATCATCATGGTTGGAAGAGACCTCCAGGATCAGCCAGCCGGGAAGGTGTCCCTGCCCATGGCACGGGGTGGAACTGGATGATCCTGAAGGTTTGTAGGCTCCTAAACCAAATTCCAGGAGTTTATTGTGGTCCTTCCAAGTCCTGTCACGGGGGTGATTGGGAATGGGAAACTCCAGTGGCTCCAAAGTCATGGCAAAAATCCTCCAGGGACTTATTGGAGCTTGGATTTATCCCAGAGTTATAAACTGGGATGCTGATGTTATTTGCCCAGAATGACAGAATTTGGGAAATCAACCTGATTTAACCACATTAGACAACAGGATATTCCAATAAGGGAATCATCATGGGCAGGTTTGGGAATTTTTTTCAGGAAATACATGATCAAAAAGGTGGGATTTAAAGAGTCATGGAATCATGGATGGTTTAGCTGGAAGGGATTTCAAGGATCATCCAGTACCACCCCCTGCCATGGGCAGGGACACCTTCCACTATCCCAGGCTGCTCCAACCTGGCCTTGGACAATTCCAAGGATGGGGCAGCCACAGCTTCTCTGGGGCACCTGGAAGAAGATGATCCTTAAAATCACAATCCTCCTTGTAGGAATTGTGTCAAAACCAGAGCGAACCTGGAGACTGGATCAGCTCAGGGATTGGGAAGTTTAAACTGCACATACCCCGGGGCCCTTCTCTTCCAGAAGCTTTTGGCTCCAAATATCAGGACTGGAGAAAACAAACCCCAAACAACAGAGTCAGGGAGGGGAGGGGAGGAGGAGAAAGTCATTCCTGGGATCAGATGGGCCCTTTCTTTGGTGCCTGAAATTCCCAAAGCCTGCACAAATATCCACGGAGACACCGCTGTGAAACACCAGCAGGGTAAACAAACTCAACTGTTCCCAGCCTGGATATTCCCAACAAAGATCCCATTGTCCTGCCGTGGGGTGAGCTCACAAACCCCCACATTGTTGGGCAGCCTTACCCGGATACTTTCTGCTCCATCTGCATCATTCCAGCTTTTCCAGAGCTTTGGAGGGACCTGCTGGCTCTCACAACTCCCTGACATGACAGGGTGGCAGCTCCATCCCTGGAATGTCCAAGGCGGGGTTGGATGGGGCTTGGAGCAACCTGGGATAGTGGAAGGTGTCCCCATGCAGGGAATAAAGGATCCTGGTCTGACTGCAGACAGGATGCAAGGGAAATCTGATCCCACCAGGAAAAGACATCCAGTGGATTGCAAGGACATTTTGTGCTCGGTTTGGGGGGTTTGGGGAAGGGAATTTTAATTCCAGTTTAATTTCCGTGGCCGCCTCTGTCTGCCAATGATATCAAAGGGCATTTGCATATAAAGTGGGTGGGTCGCCCTCGGCAAACGCTGGGAGCCACCGGCCACCGGCAGGAGCAGATCTGGAACTTCCCAGGCAAGGAAGAGCAACCCAAAGGGACAAATCCCCCCCAGCCCGATTCCATAGGAATCATAAGTCACTGATTACCTGGATTTTTACAGCGCAGCAAGGGAACTGGGAAACCCTAAGGACAGGCTGGGATTTCCCTGCTCTAATCCAGCCTTGGGGAGGGAAGATAAACCACTGGGAAAAGGTCAGGGAGAGGGGATGTGTCCATGCCCATGGCAAGGGCTTGGAACTAGAATCCTGGGATGGTTTGGCTTGGAAGGGACCTTGGAAATCCTCTAATTGCAGCCCCCTGCCATGGATTTCATTCCCTTCCTCATGGATGTCTGTCCCTCCTGCAGGATAAAAATGGACACCAAATGGAATCGTCCGATCCCACAATGGTTTGGGTGGGGAGGGATTTTAAGGATCATCCCGTTCCACCCCCTGCCATGGGCAGGGACACTTTCCACTAGACCACTTTATGCCAGCCCCATCCACCCTGGCCACTTCCAGGGGTGGTGGGATATCCACAACTTCTCCGGACAACCTGTTCCAAAGTTATATCCAAACACATCTGCCAAATCTCCTCCAGCTCCAGCACCTGCCCTGCACAGCTTCTCACCTTTCCCTGGATCCAGCTTCCCTGGGCCTTTTCCCAGGACTCTGGAGGCACCACAACTCAAATTGCTCAAATGGAATCCTTTGGCACTTTTGGTAAACTTGCCCCCTTCCATGCCCAGCCCTCGAAGTCTCTGCCAGGAATCACTTCCGTGACACCAGGTGGGATTTGGAAGGGAAAGCTCCTGGAGCGAGGGGCCCTTGAAGGCTCCTTCATCTCTGCCCTCTGCTCCCGCAGCAGCTGCTCCCTTTCAACCTGCCTATATGCTCAGGAGAAACTTCCAGAGCTCCTGTTCCGAGGGGGCCACAATTCCCTCGGGAGGGACCTGGCAGGAATTCCTTCCCAGTATCCCATCTAACCCAGCTGGAAGCCATTCCCTGTGTCCTGTCGCTCCATCCCGTGTGGAAAGGGCAGGGTCCCTCTCCCAGCCAGCATTTTGGGGGTTTGTGATGGCCCCAAACCCACGTGGAGAGAGGCCCAATTTCCTTTAATTATCCCTATTTAGAAGAAGTAAACAAAGAGGGATCAGTGGAATGAAGAGACACAAAGAGCATGGAAACAGCTGTAAGATTGGGTTTGTATCCCAACTGCTGTTTTTCCCATTCCTTAGTCACTAATATCCCCAAATAAAGCATTTTTAATGTCTAATGTAAATCTAAACCTATCTTTTATTCACCTGGGCAACTGTGGCTGCCTCATCCCTGGAAGTGTCCAAGACCAGGTTGGAATAACCTGGGATAGTGGGAGGTGTCCCTGCCCATGGCAGGGGGTGGGAACGAGCTGATCCTTAAAATCCCTTCCAACCCAAACCACTCTGGAATCATTTGGCTGAGTGGTGCCACCTCCTCCTCCTCCTCCTCCTCCTCCTCTGGGAAACCTGGGCCAGAGCCTCCCCACTCTCACAGGGAAGAATTCCTCCCCAATATCCCATCGAAACCAGTGGGAAGCATTCCCCTTGTCCTGTCCCTCCATGCCTTGTCCCCAGTCC